CTCATGCCCACCCTCCAGCACTCACTCCCCCTTGTTTCCGTCAAGATACCGAAGGTGCGGACGCATACGAGTCACCATGAGGCCAGCATCAGTCAGCAAGCAGCCAGAGGTAATTAGCACGTGACCGGCGCATCACACAGAGTGATGGGACCGCTTGGGTCAGGTGGCGGAGCGTCAAGGCGACCTCTAGGGGCTGGGACGAGCAAGTGGGAGTGCAAGAGAGTCGTATGGTGTATGGTATAACGGCGGCAAGTGCTGAGCAATCCTGTGGGTAGCGGCGTTTATTTGTTATTTATCTCCGGACGGTCGCAAAGCCATTCCTGTAGTATAAATTGTACAAAGTAGCGTACAGAAAAACAAGTTTTGCACTTCACCATCTCAGAGAATTAGCGTTACGATCTCAGCGACCCTCGAAGTTCGAAAGCGTTGAACTTAGCAAATTATAACTGATCCTAGCTTTGCCAATAGGCCTGACTCGTCGAGTGATTCATCTCCGCCGTTGGTTTAATTATCTCCGGTGAGTCCTACATAGTGAAATAAAATTAAACAAGTCTCTCTAGCAATTTCTACCACTGCAGGCACAATCCTACGACAGGTGTCATTGCTTGCTACTTTGATTGCGACTCTTCGGAGATAAATACTCTGGAGCATCAACTAGCATTTGTTTCAGGTATCAAAGTGTTTGTTTTATTTTTCTAGGTCTTCCTACGGACTACCCTATGGCATCTTACTCCTCCTTTCCCCCTCGAACTATTAAATACCCCTCAGTTGTCTCGGACTGCCTTGACCCATATCACGGGGTTTAGGTTTATTTCTTTTGGTCCTTGGTGATTGTTGTGTGTCAGTGCATATCACCGGACCATGCATCTTTCCTGGGACGTGCACCAGTGTAAAATGGAATGTCAACATTGAGACGATCCAATGGTTGATACTCGCAGATGGAGCTATGTCTGGATTCTGAAGCATGCCCTTGATGTATCGAGCATCTGCTTCAATGACTAGATTCCGGACGCCTAAGAGATAAAGGTGGCGCGCTCGGAGATTGCGGAAGAGGCCATAGATTTCTAACTTGGGCTAGGAGAGGTGTTTCTCTCGACCAGTCTGTCCAGAGCATCTGCTAGGCCGGGTTGAGGTGTAGGTTGTCCAGGAATGTTCCTGTGCATATCTTCATTAACCATTGAAGATATTTGAGTGAAGCAGGCTGTGCTTTACTTGCCTGGAGGGAGTTCCTGAGTATTGTAGAGGGGTTGGTTCAAGCGTACCACCCCTCTTAGCAGGTCTCTATGAGCCACTGCCTCCTTGGGAGTATGTGGCATGCCTCTGGGCTGTACTGGTAGGGTCACAATATTGGTGTCATCCACTAGCTGGAATTGGAGATTGTTGGAATGCACATGGTGGTGGTACATTTGGGCCAGTTCAGCCCAGTCTCATAGCAGGTGTTCTTCCTAACTGAGTTCCCCAAGTTCTACCTGGTATGCTGTGTAGAGTCCTAGGACATGTCCAACCCTGTCAATGTCCTCTTGGTCAAGGGGGTGTTGTGATGAGTATTTGTGCAAACTGTATTCATTTGCTCTCTG